TGGCTGGAAGATTGTTTGCTTTTGACGATCATGTCGTCAACATAGGCCTCCATGGTGCGCCCTAGGACGGCTTGAAAGACCCGGGCCACCATCCGGGTGTAGGTGGCCCCTGAGTTCTTTAGGCCGAAGGCCATGACTAGGTAGCAGAAGATGCCCTCGGGAGTCATGAAGGCAGTTTTTTCGGCGTCTTCCTCGTGCATAAAAATTTGGTGATACCCTCGGAAGGCATCGAGGAAGGACATGATCTCACACCCTGCGGTCTCATCCACTAGTTGATCAATATTTGGTAGAGGGAACGGGTCCATAGGGCACGCCTTGTTGAGATCAGTGTAGTCCACGCACATGCGGAAGGTAGGGGGCTTCTGTGCGAGGACTACATTCGCCAGCCATGAGGGATATTTCACCTCCTTGATGTGCTTAATGGAGAGGAGCATGGCGACCTCCTTCTTCATAAATTCCCTCCTCTCGGCGGAGAGGGGTCTTCTTCGTTGTTGTGCTGCCTTTGCCGAAGGGTCCACCGAGAGGCGGTGGGTGATGACCCTTCGGCTGATTCCCGGCATGTCCTCCGGCCCCCATGCAAAGACGGTGGAGTAGGCGCGGAGGGCGTCGGTGATATCGGTCTTCAAATCTTCAGGGAGCTGGGCTCCAATCTTCACGACTTTCTCCGGCTGGGCCGGATCGAGCGCGAAGTCTTCTACGTCCTCGGCTGGTTCAGCCCTCGGCCTTTTCTCTTCTTGGTCGATGGTTCCGGTGATGGTGTCAACACGGAATTCCGTCTTGCTTACCTTCTTAGTGACCTGAAGATAGCAGGCGCAGGCAATTTTCTGGTTCCCTCGGGAGTAGCCAATGCCCCCCTCGGTGGGAAACTTGAGGCAGAGGTGCCTCATGGAGATGATGGCTTCGAGGTCCTCGAGGGCTGGCCGGCCGAGGATGATGTTGTGGGCGCAGTCAATGTTGACGACGACGAACTCCACCTTGAGCTGGGCTCTATGGAGCCCGTCGCCGAAGATCACCGGGAGGGTTATTACCCCCTCGGAATCAATAGTGTCGCCGGTGAAGCCGGCAAGAGGGGTCTTAATGGGCCGAAGGGACCCCCTCTCCAGATGCAGCTCTCTGAAGGTGCTGAGGTACATTACATTGACAGAGCTGCCCGTGTCAATGTAAGTTCGGTGAATGATGGTGTCGCTTATCTCTGTCCGAATTACCAAGGCATCCCTGTGAGGAGAAGAAGTAGGGGGGAGATCTGCGTTGGTGAAGGTGATGGGTTCCTCCCTCAGTCGCTTTACCGGGGGCATATGAGTGACTTCCCCTACGTAAAGTGATTGAGCCCACTTCTTTCGCAGGCTGGTGGAATCGCCCCCTGTATTGCCACCGGTGATCATGAGGATGTGGCGTTTCTTCTCCTGGTAGTGGGGGTACTCCTCCTCCTCTTCTTCTTCCAAGTTTCCGATCTCCCTCTTCTTGCCGAGGGGGATGGTGTTCGGATTTACCCAGACATTTACCTTCGTATGGTGCCCTCGGGGAGGTCCCTGATGAGAAGGTCCCTCCTGCCGAGGGCTCTGGACAAATTGGGACAGGTGCCCCGCCTGTATTAATCTTTCGATGGCCGTCTTCAGCTGATGGCAGTCATCGGTCCTGTGCCCCTGGTGCCGATGGAAGCGACAGTAGGGGAACTGAGGGTTGATAGCGTGTACCTCCGGGGGTGCGCGAGAATCGCGCTCAACGAGGCCCCTCTCCTCGGCAAAATCGAGGATGATGCTGACGGGGTGCGTCAATGGCGTCCGAGGGCGGTCCAGGAGAATGGGCTGGGCCCAAGTCTTAGGGTTGCTCTTATAACCTCCCCCGGGCTTGGCTTGGCCTTGCCGAGGGCGGTCATCAGAGGGTCCCGAAGCCTTGGGGTGATTTGGAGGAGCCCCCGGCCCTCGGTTATGCTTGTTGTCAGCCCTCGGGGGCTGCTGGTCCGGATGCTGGTGATACTTCTCCACCTCCTCGGCCTCAGCATATCGGTCCCCCCGCTGCAAAGCCATTATGTAGTCGCGGGGGGGTTCAATGATGAGGCTCCTTGAAAAGTTACCGGTGCGGAGGACGGTTTGTAGGAGGGCCAGGAGGGTCCCGTCATCAGCACCGTCGACCTTGTCGGCCTCGGTCCTCCAGCGCTCTAGGAAGTCCCGAAGGGTCTCATCCCTCTTCAGGCGTATTGTTAGGAGGTGGGAGAAGTGCTTCCTTGTGCGACGCCTCTCGGCAAATTGTGTCAAGAACCGTTGGGCGAGTTCTTGCCATGAATCAATACAGCCCTCGGGCAGCCTGTTGAACCATTCGTATGCCGGCCCCTCTAAGGTGGAGAGGAACCAACGACACAAATATTCGTCCGACGCCCCTACCATCATCATGATGTTCTGGTACTTGCTGTAATGTTCCTGGGGGTCCGTTTTTCCGTTGTAGGGCTGTATATGTTGCCCTCGGTATTTTTCCGGGATCCGGGCCGCCAATACCCTTGGGGTAAATGGCGTCCGAGTCCGGAGCTGGATGACGGGTTCCCCGGAGCCCTCGGCCACCTTCTTCTGTAACTCCTCCATTTTGGCCATCATGACCTCGTATTTGAGATCTGAACGAGGGGTGGAGGTGGTGGCGCGAGCTTTGTTGGACTCCATCTCGTCAAGCCGGTGTTGGAGGGCCGCAATAATCTCATCCCAGGGATCCTTCGGGAGGGTCTCCGCCCCCTGCGAACGAACCCGGGCCGAGTGGGCCTGGTTGATTTGGTGCCGAGCATCATCGGCATGAAGGGGTGCCTTGCCTTTGTCCCGAGGGGGACGCTCCTCGTCTGCCCTCGAAACAGATCCCCCGCTTTCCTGGGGCCTTTGGAGTGCTTTCCCCCCGAGGCGGTCTTGGACCCCCCGGCGGTCTGGCCCTCCTCCGAGCCGGTTGAGGGCGGAAGTACGGGGCCTTTCCCTGTTGTCATTATGGCGGTCCCGGGACTGAACTTCCTGGGAGGACGTATCTTGGGCCACCACCCCTTCGTCGTTTCTCACCCGAGGGGTGGGATTTCCGAAGGGGTGTGGCAGAGGGGGAAGTATGATATTTTCCCCGATCTGAGGGTGAGCAGGAGCCAGGGTGCCGAAGGCACCCGGGTTCTGGGTGAGCGTTTGGATGAAGGCGGAGAGCGCCGATTGTACGTCGATGGTGAGAACCGGAGGGCTGACTTGGTCATCGCTCCGGTTTTTCTTCTTGGCCTCGATGCCGAGGCGGGCATCGGGGGCATTTTGTTGGATCTGAAGGCGTAGGTCGACAGCCGCCTGTTCCAGCCCAGCGATGACACCGCCCTCGGGAGCCCTGTGAGAGGCTTCGGGGGCGTTGACGTCGCCGAGGGCCAGGTTCTTGTCTTCTACGTTCGTTGAGTTGGCACGTGTTGTCCTCACCATTTTGATAGAGGGCTAGTGTTTTGTGTTTGGTCGAGGGGGAGGGTTTCTTACTTGATTGTTCGACCTCTCAACGAGAGCACCAAATGATGGATAGTCTACCCGGGGGTATATATCCGAAGGGTTATTACGGGGAATAACTTAGAGAGAAGTCGGAGCAAGTAAGTAAAAGTAGAGAGAGAGTGTATTCAGTATGTATGCCGTTTTCAGCGTGGTTACAAATGAGGAAATGGGGTGCTATTTATAGTAGCAATAAATGCCAGACAGGGACACGTGTCAAGCGCTCATTGGTCGAGGGGTCACCTCAACTGGTTGGCGCTGGTAGCCGCATGTGGCCGCATTTAATGCGGCTGTTGGACGGGACGTCTGTGCAGGGTACGGTGATCTGCACGCATGTGAGGCGGATATCTTGTCGAGTGAGATGCCTTCGGCTATAGAGCAATGGCCGAGGGCTCCTCCAACCGATGGCACTCTGGTGCCGAGGGCTCACAGTGCCGAGGGCTACTGTTTTCGCCGTTTTCTCCCAGTTTCTTAATTTGCTTGCGAAGCCCGTCCTGTGAGAGTTTAGAGCCTTCAGCCAGGAGGCCGAAGGCACCCCTGGCGCGTAGTGCGGGCTGCTTGGTACTCTGGGCGCTGTGATCTGGGCCTGTTGGGCCTTCTGGGCCTGTTGGGCCTTCGCTGGAGTAGTAGGAGTCTGTGGGTCGGGGGTTCCCGGGCCATATACTCCATCACTCCTGTTTAGAGAATTTACTCTTTTTATATTTGATTATTTTCCTTATTTTATAGTTGTAGTTAGTCAGTTAGTGTCATCGTGAAACTAATACAAAGTAAAAAAATAAGGATAATAATTTCCTTAAAAAAATCAATGACACTCTTGCGAGGAGTTGCTGGTAGAAGCCCTTGCAAATAATGGATGGTCAAAGCTCGTCAGTTGTGGCTCCTTGCAAATAAACGGTCTATACCGGTAGGCCCCTCACAAGTCTAAGTTTTTACTCGATCTCATTTTATTTGTTCTACTTTTTTTTCGGATTTTTTCAAAACAAATGTCTTTCTTTCTTTTTGCAAATAAATATATCGTATGTGGTATACACTACTTCATTCGGTCCCAAATGAAATTCACACTTTCCTTTTTGAGTAGATTCAAAATAAACTTCACATTTCTTCTTCATTTCTCATTTGGCAAATTATCTACATCAAAACAATGTTAAATAATACCAAATAGTGTCACAACAGTGTACTCTACAGTAAAATCAAATTTATTTCCTTAATTTGTGTGAAGTTAAAGTGTGAATTTCATTTGGAACCGGAGGAAGTATTTCACTTTATCATACTCAAATTTGAACTACAACATTAATTTTTTCAACCGCTTTTTTATCAAGTCAAAGTCAAAATGAGACACATTTTGAGGTACTATTAGTTTGTTTAGAAATTGCTCTAAATAGGAGCAAAATCGTTTTGAAATTCCAAGTTTGGAAAAAAATGTCATGTTTTAAAACTTAGTAATGCCAAACTTGACATAAATTTACTCATATTGAAGGAATAAAAACATTATACTCCTATTTTAGAATTTTGTAGGAATTCCCTCTGGTTTGTTTGGTCAAACATATTATGCAGCCAAGAATGGCGGGACAACTATCCACCAAAATAACTGAATAACGATACTTCTCCAGCTCATCCTATACGCGGAACTCAAAGAATTGGGAAATGGATTCTTCTTCAACGTCTAAGCAAGGTCGGAAACCGCCTACACTGAATCAACCGGACATCTACTCAACCGTCGTTTTCCACGGCACCGATGCGGAAAATGAGCAGAAGCGCGACGCCGTCTCTGTGTCGAAGGGCGATGCTTCATCGGAATCTGAGAATGACACGCAGTCCGTTGGCGGCACAATGATAGTGAAAACCAGTCGCCGCAGACCTCGGTCCGAGACGATGTCGTTTCTCGATCGAACGGAAAAGATCCGCAAGAGTAGAACTAGTGAAATCGGCGAGGAGGAAATTGAGGAAGGGGATTTCTCTACATTTGTAATGAGGGACGGTGAGATCGAATCGGGGACCGTGGTGAGGAGAACAAGCGGAAGAGGAACTGGCGAAGAGAGCGGATTGTCTACTATAAGAAGAGCTGTCGCGAGTATGCAATCTATGGAGGAGATTGGGGTTGGGAGGAAGAGGAAAGGTGGTAATGGAGGTGCGTTGGAGGAGGAAATAAAGCAGGTGCATGGGAGTAAGGTGTCTTCCAGCTCCTTTCCAGATAGTGTGACGAGGGAAGATCCTTCTACGAAGTATGAAATTCTCCACGAACTCGGTAAATTTTACTTCTTGCTTTTCCCTTTCCTTGTTATCTACTTTAAAATCTTTTGTGAATTTGAATTAGTTACTGGTAGATATTACTGTACTTGATGTCTACTGTTTCTTTGGTTGCCATGATAGATATACGGTAGTGCAGTAGTTGATTATATACCTCCTAAAAATGTTGTTGCCTAGAGCAAATTCAAAATGCATTAAGAGAGAATTACGGCGATTTGAGATCCATGGATGCTAATCAGGTTATCAGATGAAATGAGACTATATGAAGTTTCTTATAGTGCATCTTTTACTGCTTCCATCATGTACTTAGTAACCTATTTCAAAATATGGCTGGAAGTTTTTGTGTAAATATTAAGTGATTGAAAGGGGGGGAGGAATTGGGCATGGCAGGGAAGGGTTCATATGGTGCTGTTTACAAAGCTCGAGATCTGAAGACTTCGGAAATGGTTGCCATCAAAGTGATATCACTGTCTGAAGGGGTTTGTTTCCTCAGTAGCCTGTGGTTTTCTTAACATATTGAATCTTTTCTTCAAAGCATACTATTTTTTTGTAATTTTAAATGTGCATTCAGGAGGAAGGCTATGAGGATATCTTAGGTGAAATTGAGATGCTACAGCAGTGCAGTCATCCAAATGTTATTCGCTACTTTGCGAGCTATCAAGGAGACGAATACCTTTGGGTATGACTGAATGAATTGATTATGCGACAACTAATGCTTCAACGCTTAATAAAAAGTCTTAGTTACGTGTGTAACGAGCGGAACCCAAATTTATGCCTTTTTGCTTTATTAAAGCTTGTGCTACTTTCTACGATTTAACAGATAGTAATGGAGTATTGTGGGTGTGGAAGTGTTGCTGGTTTAATGAATGTCAATGAGGCACCACTTGAGGAGCAACAAATAGCATATATTTGCAAAGAAACATTGAAGGTAATCTTGGCTTGAACGTTAAATAAGTGCATTAAGTTCTTGGTCTGATGAGCAGAGAGGCATTTGACAGGCGAACCACCTGACTGATAGATATTTGATGAATTCTTCAAGGGCATCACACATTAGTTGGATGGTGATGTAACTCACTTTTTCTGAGTCTGGCTAAACATGGCAATTGTTTTGCTAGAAATGAACAGCCATCTCTTGGAACACATAAATCAAATCATCATTTACCCTAGTGCCGCAAAGGCTCCCACCTACGGTGGGGTAAGGAGGGGTCGGATGTACGCAGTCTTACCCCTGTCCTAAAGCACAAAGAGATTGTTTCCGGATGACCCATAGTGAAAATCGCGTCCAAAATTGCATGGACTGACTGTTGCTTTATAACAAAGAAGCGCAGACAGTTTAGTGAGTCATTTTGCTTTATTCCATCATATTCTCAAGCCAAAAAATAGTGAATTTTTGGCTCCATTGCAAATGATGGAAAAATCTCTTGGAACACATAAAGAAAAAAAATCGATGGTAAAAATTAATCCTAGAAATGAACGGTCATATCTTGGCTCATCCTAACCCTCTCCCGGTTCAATTTCTTTCACACATTTCTCTTTTGAAACTGGATTTTAGAAGGAAAAGGAACGCAGAAAGAAGAATAAAATACTTCCACCCATGTAGTGCTTGCAAGAAGCTCGGGACTATTGTATCACAATGCCACGTGAGAGTGTGATCGCTGAAGGCTTTTGTCTTTCACTTTTTTAATAACAAATCATTTAAAATCTATTCTTTCATGACTAATTATTTATGGCTCTTTATTTTATCTGAAGTCTGAACTATCATTACTTTTTCATCTCATGCAGGGCCTTTCCTATTTACACTCCATATTTAAAGTACATAGAGATATCAAAGGGGGTAATATATTGTTAACTGATCAAGGAGAGGTTAAGTTAGGTTAGTATCTCCATTTAGACCATTTACAGTTTCGTGTAACCTCTGTGTATTTTGACACTGCATTCTTGTTCTGTATATTTTCAGAACTTAATGATGACCCCTTTTATTTGAGTTTAATCCTATGAGTTCTTGTTGTTTTTGTTTAGAAGCTACATTTCATTCCTTAATTTCATTGTTAGGTCATATTCATATCTTATTAGTTTATCTCCTTAAAACATGTGCATCACTATCCTTAATGTAATTTCTTACTGAGCCACCAATTTGTAATAATTATCAGTATGAGCAGGTGATTTTGGTGTTGCTGCACAGCTAACTAGAACAATGTCCAAGCGTAACACGGTATTTTTTTCAGCTGCTTAGCTTTATAACTTCATTAGGACTTCTTAGATTTGTTTCCTATACTTTTGGCAATTGGTATGTATAGCTACTTTCTAATTGGTATAGGACTGGATATAAGTTTTTATTTACGGAACTGTGATTGTAATAATATACACTTAGTTACTGAAAGTGACAGTTTCCGTTATGGTAGAGAAGATCTTCATGAGTTATGCAGAAGGTTTTGGGGATTGAAGTTTGCGATAAAATAGGTTTAGCTTTTCGAACAAATCTTACTTTGTGGTTTAGGCTCCGTTTATTTCCAGAAAAGTAAGTCGTTTGGGACTATTTTATGCGGAAAATGTACTACAAAATAAGTTTTCATATGTATACAACCCACTAACAACAAATATAAACTTGTTCAGAAAAATAAATTCCTCTTTGCAAAATAGAGATTTTTTCATACCAGCCCAAGAATCATGAAAATCGTTTAATATTCTTTATGGTGCCAAACACAAGAAAATTCGGTAAAAAACCTAAATCTAGCTTTCTTCTCTATGCACAAGTGCTGATATCAACTTTCTCTAGCCGTTATGCTAATTTTGAGAGATCTACTGAACAATGAAAATAAAAGGATTGAGAGATCTAATGTTTTCTTTGGAATCTGAAGCTGTGTTATCTTACTTGTCTATTGCATAATCTCGTGCAAATAAAAAAGCTTGTCTGTGGACGAGTCTGGATCAGTTTAAACTCTTAATGGATAATGTCTCATGACTCTCATGGCGTGCAAGTAGTTATAAATGGGGAAAAATCACTAGTAATGTTTATGAATTTGGTATGTCATCATCATCACCATCACTTTAATCCCAGCTATGATGGGGTCAGTAGCACAAAATTTATAGTGCCAATTAAATTTCCAAAATTAGTTGGCACTACAACGTCATAGTTGACATTGAATTTTGTATTACATAAGGAAAAACATGATGCTGGCTCACTGGTTGTCATGATGCTCCCTCCTGAATTAAATTTATGCGATAGATTCTCTCCTCATATACTTGTGCATTAAATTGGTATTGGTTCTTTTTTTCTCCAAATCTTCAAATAAATGTAATGTTCAATTCACAAAGTAGTCTCATGTGGTGGTTACTTTAACATTTTATTTCTTTGTTTGTTGTTATTTAGACTTCTAAAGTAATTATATTAACACAAATTTGTTGCTTAAAAGTCTTACATTCCCTCATCAATTTTCAGTTTATTGGAACTCCTCATTGGATGGCTCCAGAAGTTATTCAAGAAAGTCGGTATGATGGAAAGGTATGATTGACACCTGTAAACTTGTCGTGTCTCTTGAGTTCATCCTGGATACTACTTTTATAGGACTATTACTTTATGTTTTCCCAAAACTTATCTGTCTATGTCTTTCAGGTAGATGTGTGGGCACTTGGAATATCTGCTATTGAAATGGCAGAGGTATGCTGGTTCCTTTTTTCTGTTTATGGATCTGGTTTCTCTTTACAATGTAAAAACTTAATATAGGTGCTACTGTATTTGTAAAAAACCTGCTTTTCTGGATCTTCATTTCAATTAAATATTTTTCTGTTGAATTGTACTTTGTCTATGATCAAGATACATTTGATGAATTCTTTATCATTGGTGGTGATCAACCATTCCCTCTTTTCAGGGTCTTCCTCCGCGGGCAACTGTGCATCCTATGAGGGTTAGTCTTTGAAGAGTTGAATTTCAATCTTCCAGGGAATATGTCGCATGCAGTGTTGCTATTCTGCATATGGACTCTAAGATATACGCTGTCACTAGTAAGATATTTAATAAAAGCCACCACCTGGTGGTAAGGTAGAAACAATTCAAGTGAACAAACAAGAACAAGATATTACCATTTTATGTTTTTGAATAGAATTGAATGTATTATGTTAATAATACTTAGAGGATTAAATTATTGAGGAGCATTTCAACTAATTTATGTACTCTATATGGACCCTTCCATCTATAGTATTCCTGAACCACAAGGAAAGTGATAAGTTTTTATATGTAAACACTTCTAAAATTCCTACTTGAGTATAAACCAAATAATATTTAGTTGCTTAAAAACTGATGGTAGGTCAAATATTGAATTTCTAGTTCATATTACCAATAAAATGCTTAATGCTCTTTCCTTATTTGCCATGCGGGTTATGTTAATGTCATTTATTACAATATCCTTCAATGGCTCGATATGTTTGGATAGGTGCTGTTTATGATATCAAGAGAACCAGCTCCAATGCTTGAGGATAAGGAGAAATGGTTTGTTCTTTGTTCTTGATTCTTTGCATATACATTTTCCTTTAATCTCAGGGTAGAATGCACAAATGGGAACTTAACTATTGGTATTGATGCATTTTGGAACCCAACTGAACAACTACTAAATAAAGAAAATTAGTACCCTAAGTACATCCAATTGTCTCGCTAGATGCGCATCCCCCCCCCCCCCCCCCCCCCCCAAATTAAGTAGTGAATTCATTCACAGAGTTGGTGAAGTCATAAAAGAGTAGAGTGCAATCGTGATCTGTTAGTTACTTTCAAAATGTTTGATTTGATAACATCAATTATGTGAAATATATAACTATTAAAAATAGAGAATGTACACAGTTTTCAGGCTGGAATTTTTTAATTTTCGCCAAAATATCACATGGTATCATACGCTGAAACAATTTAATGTGCATACGGTACTGATTGTCTGATTTGCTTCACTCAATATTTGGGTACCAAAATGTATCAATTGCACTAGAGCTATGGTGCCATTTATGTATTTACCTGAAATTTGAATTTCATATCATTGGATGTGCTCCAACAAATTTGGCACTTTTGTGGTGTATAGTTGCAGGTCCCTATAATAGGTTATATCCTTTATGTAATTTGTTTATTGTTGTTTCTTAGGTAATGCGTATTGGCCTTGTATGACCTCTTATGCTTGAATTCTACCCCCGCCCCCATGTGAAGTCACGTTTAAACGCATATAGCTGTCAGTAAATGTTGATGTGGAACATATATATATTTAGGTCGCTTTTGTTTCATGACTTCGTGGCAATGTGCCTTACAAAGGATCCTCGTCTCCGTCCAACTGCAGCAGAGCTGCTAAAGGTACTATGTTCTTTATGTGTTACATTATTTATATAGAGTGTATGTTAGAGTTTATTTTCTGTATGCCGCAATGTGATATCTAAAGTAATTGTTTTCAATGTATTTTGTATGCTTTGTCAAAAGTCTGGCAGTTGCATGTGTGCTGTACTGCTGTACATTAAGGGATATCTCTGTTGACCTCTCATCTGGCCTAAAAATTCTTTTCATGCCATATCTCATTGAGCCTGAATTTTGATAGGGCATTGGTGCTCAAATGCATACGACTAAAAGTTTAAACTCACAGATCGGCTACATGATTTTCTTGTTTCAGGCAACTTCTCTGTGATATTCTTAATTGTGAACTTATATATACTTTCATAATTTTCTACTCCTTAATGGTCCAATGCCGGCTCTCAGTTTCTAGTGGCTGTAAATAATAATTATTTGAAAAAACAAAAAGTGATAGGCGTTGTAAGCCTGTAAGACATGCAACTATCCCCGCCCAAAAAGATTTTATTGTTAGGTTGCTTTTCAAGCCTTGAATGATGACTCATTTGCTAGATGTTCCATTTCTTTTAAAGCACAAATTCATTGAGAAGTGTAAAAGTGGAGCTTCTGGAATGCTGCCCAGGATTCAGCAGGCAAAGGAAATTAGATCTTCCATGGCTTTAGAAGCTCAGAAAATTGCATCATCAGCCACTCTACGAGGAGATGTATGCTTGTTATTACTGTTATTATTATTATTATTATTATATTAATATCATCACCATCATAATGATGATTATTATTTTTGTTGTTGTAGTATTATTTTGTACTCTTCCTTGATGATCTCTCAGTGTTCACTATAACCCAACTACTTTTTCAAGACTTATTTAGAAAAAATCAAATTATATTCATGAAGTGCAGTTAGGAGGTGACCCCAAAGTAAATGAATCATTTGGAGATACCGTGCTTGCTGGTCTGCAAGTCTCTGATGTACTATCATCTGCAATTAATGTGGAGGATCATGATTCAGGACATATAGAAACTGATGTAGAAGGTAACCCTATTACATTACATCCCATATCACAAAATCTGAGCTTTTTGCTCAGCAGGTTAGCTTTACTTTTGATTGACCTCAGTAATGTGGTTAACTCAAATGGCAATGTGAATAAATAACTAGTTATTGAACATTGATTAACATTTTACTTCACTGGTTACAAATGGACCCTAAAAGTGAGGCAAATTCCAAACAAGCAGGTGACTTTGGGACAATGATAGTTCGAGATGCTGGTAATGCAGCTATAACAGCTACTCAAATTGCAGTCCGAGACAAAGAACCGTCCCCTTCTGTAGAACATACTGGAAATGCCCATGTCCTTGGCCATGGTGAGAAAAAAATTGACCCTAGGTATTCTCTCCCCTCTCTTTTGATAACTCTTCCGGAAAAAAGGACTAGGAAAACACTAATTGCCACTTGTCAGAAAAGTCATGCAGCTGGATTGATCTATGGATTATGGGAGGAACACTTCTGTTAGTTAGTTGGATACTGAGAGGGGTAAGATATGTTCTCAACTTCTTCGAAGTTTGGAGTTCAACAACTGCCATTACTCACACTGATTATATACACTATGGTATCAACTCGGGAAAAAAACTATGGAGGCATATGATTAATGACTTGAATGAGAATGAGATTCCTCAATTGCTCACTGTATGGCCGTTTCCAGTATGTTGCTCCTTTTGTTGAAAGTCGTACACTCGTACATAAATGTATCTTACCGAGAGGGGTAAGATACGTATGCCATATGCCTAGACGTGTATGTGACTTTTGTAAAGATTATATGGTGGGTAGAGGTTGCTATGATGCCACTTATTTTTCAACATCGATCTTCCAAGAAGAGCTTTCGGTTAGAAGGGACTATATCTTTAGCTACTTTTTTACAGAATCAACTCTAAAGCTATTTTCTTTAAAAAGAAATCGTGTAGTGTAGCTGATACTTGCATATATGGTGGAATCAGGCTATACAGTGAAGAGAGTCTTAGTTTCACAAGTGACGCATCCCAATCCGGACAAGGGAAAGCCTCTTCTCCTGCAATGCTTGCTCCTCCACTTTTGTCCCCTCCACCGGGCAACATTTTTGTAACAAGAGGTCCCATGAAGGGTGAAGCTGTCAGTCAAAAAGCTGTAGAAAAGGTACTTTTTCTCCTTCTTTCTTGCCTTTTCTCTATACATGTAACTTAGTATTGCTTCCTTTGATTTTTATAAACATCTTCACCTTAATGCTACATACATGATTGGGGTCAGTGGTATGAAATTTGTAGCATCAGTGAGTCATATGGAATTAATTTAAACTAGGGACAAAATGTTTTGCCGTGCCTGTGTTTCCGTTTGCATCCTCATTGCGGAGGAGTAATGAGACATAATTCGAAAACCATCACCATAGGTTATCTTGATTCTTGACCAGCATGAATATTATCATGAGACTGCAATGTGGTGCAATAATTTTCATAGCCATGTTAAATTAAAGGTTGATTTTAAACGTTGAGAAAAGAAATTGGACCTAACTCAAACAAAAAAAAAAGAGTTCTAGAGGTGGGGATTGTCAACACTTATGATTATGAAGAGGTTCATAAATTCATATTTAGCAAATGTGGTACACTCATCACCATAAAATCAACTTTTAAATCACGAAACTGGATTGAAATTGCTTCGTTTGATTTTATTGATTCAGTTCCTTGAATGCAACTCATGCATACATTCTTTGTGTATATATATATTCTTCTAGCTCCGCTCAATATACTCAGCTGGTAATACGGTGCCAATCCCCTTCCTGAGAGCATCTGATATATCACCAGTTGCACTTTTGTCTAGCAATATGCTTGGGGCCTGGCAAGAAGATGATACTTTGCATGAGCTTTTCTGTCGCGATGCTCAGTCAAAAAAGGGCCGAAGTAGACAAAACGAGGTCCTTTTTTATTTCTCTATTACTTTTTGGTTTTGTAATCTATCCATCCCACCCCAACTGATGATTAATGGCCTTATAGGTTCCCCTGCCTCCAAGTGTACATCAGCGACTATCTTCTAGTCCTACCTTAATGAACCTAACACAAGCTTTGGCTTATCACAGGATGTAAGATCTTTCAACGTATAAGCTCCCTCAGTCCCTCAACAAATAAATAAAACAAGACTCAAAAGCCATGACATTACTTCTTACAAATTATTTGTTAGTTTTAACTCGTTCTTATCTTATTTTGAAATAGTTACTTGTTGGATATGACTCCAGGTGCTATGATGACATGCCTCTTCAGGAAATGCAAGCTACACAAGAGCAAAAGACCATCCAAAGCCTTTGCGATACACTAAAAACTATTTTGCGGTTATAAATAGATGCCGTTTATTTATAGTTTTTTTATATAGAAAATGACATTATCTGACTCTGTGAGTATTCATTTTCATTTATTCATTTATTTGGATTACATTGAATATTAATGCAATCCGTAAACAATACTACTCCCTCCGTCCCATAATTAACTTCGGTTTTGACTGGGCACGGAGATTAAGATAGTGAGATTTGTGTGGTGGAGAGTTGTGTAGAGGAGAGAGAAATGTGTAAGAATAGTTGTGAACCACATATTCTTTATCAAAAAGGGAAAGGGGAGATAAATTTGGGACGGACCGAAAAGGAAAGAAAGAAGATAATTTCGGGACAGAGGGAGACAGGGAGTATCATATTACACTGTGTGCAGCCCAGAACATATAAGAGCAACACAACCGATTATTGCCTTAAACTTCTGTGACCTTTTCCCTCTATGAAGCTGGCCACAAGAGATATCTCCACATAGCTAATCAGGAATGCACCACCAACCATATAGTCATGAAAAGAGCTCTTAGTGACAAGTGGAGGTGGTCCAAATGCACCATGTCCCGCACTTACTATATTCCTCATGCTAGAGGTCTCCGGTTCAAGTCATTAAGGAGGTGAGTTTGAGAATATTTTCTCAAGTGAGAATCCTCAAACCCCGAAGTTAGCTTGAGTGTGTGAGTTATCTTCTTGCTAGAAACTTGATTATTTTTTACCAATCGATAGCAATTCTCCCAGGAGCTATGTTGGGAACCAAATGACATGTGAAGTCAATCGGTTAAGAGCGGTTTTAAAGTGTGGTGGTGTATTAGTGTATAAATGGGCCTTGGGAACCTAGCGGATTATTTGAGCGCCACATGTTTACTTTTCAAGGGTTTGGGGTGAGTTCTTAGGATTCCGCAATTAGCTCGACGAAGTCGGGGTCAATTGGTGTTCACAAAAAAGAAAGTGAAAGAGCTCTCAAATTAAGCCATAGGTTCCACCGTACCCCTACTAGACTAAATCAGCTTCAAATAGATCAAGTAGATTAGATCAAGATGTGCAATACTAAAATAAACATCTACCAGATCAAGCCATATATCAAGATCTAGATCATTGCATTTCTTTTACACGCAATATACAAGCTAATGTTTATTACGGAGTATATCTTTGCCGACCTCCACGTTTGGACTCAAGAGAGTAGAGACTATAGTTTGTTTTCTTCTTTATCATTGCAAACCGCACAGTGCAAACACCAGATAGTTGAGTAGTCTAAATAAGATAAATGAGAGATTCGCCTTTATATGAAACAACAACCAACACGTAGTGATAATGGAGTCTACTGTCAACTAGGGGTGGACCCAACCGATTCAGCCCGGCCCAGAACCGGCCCGCCACGCCACTGTGCAGGCCCAGACTGGCCCGGTTGGTGCTAACTGGGCCAGGGCTTTTACCCGGTTGGGGAGGGTTGGCCGGGCCGGGCTCAGGCCCTGTATTTGTTGAACCAGGCCGGGCGGTTCGAGGCGGGCCAAGGCTTTTTTTATTTTATTTTTTTGGTTTTTTCAATTTTTTTGTTTTTCTTGGTTAGGGCGGGGTGTTTTGGGGAGTTTGGGGGATCAGGGGTGAGGGGGGGTCAGGGGTTAATTAGAAAGCAAAAAAATATTACCTTGACCCGGGCCCGGCCCGGCCCAGTTAGACCCGGACCCGGTATCAACCCGGACCGGTTCCGGACCCAACAATTTGAAAAAAAAAACCGCCCGAGCCCAGGTCCATCCTTACTTTCAACGTTTCACACTTTCACCATTTCAAAATTTTAAAAAATTCAAATTTCCATTTTGGGACCATTTCTATATATAATTACACAATATTTAGAAATCTATTCCCTAAATGATTACCAGTTGGAAATTTCGGCTTGCTATTCTTTTTTCTTTTTGATGGGAGTTCTATACAGAAAAATGAGAAAATAGTGTCTTCAAATCCTTGGTGAAATTTTATGAAATTTGTTCCTAGCATCATTACGCATTGTAAGAAAAGATATGTCCATTTTTGTAAGTGAAAATACATTAACAACAATAACAGCTACTTAAAATTTATCATTGTAATAGTTAATATCCGCGCATTTCATTCTTTTACTGCTATGTTTGGATCCAGGAAAAGCTCCTGATTCCTGAATGACCAAAGTAATCAGTTTTGACTTTTTGTTTATTTCTTTGAAGAAATGAGTTTCACAAAAGGTTATTCCTTTTCGAAATTCAACAGGTTTCGCAATATTAGCACCCAGCTGTTGGTTTGATTAATATTTTCTACTAGAAGTACCTTATCAAAAGATCACAAGTGCAGGTTGGTCAAAGAATACTTTTTTTTTTTTGGGGGGGGGGGGGGGGGGGGGGGTCAAGAATGTTCCCATTCAAAAAAACCACATGTGAATCCCTCTCGAATTCAATAGACAAAGCTTCTGAACAAGGGGGAGTGTGTCAACAAGATTCCTTTACATGCATATCTCAAATATGCTAACCATTCTTCTAATCAACATGGTTGAAAGTGCCACAGCTCCATATACTTGAATGAATGTAGAAACCACAAGGCATTGTGCTTTTGTCAATTAGGTATTAATCCCTGCACATATCGAACTGAAATTACTTTTATCAACCATGGAAAAAGTATCTTGCTGCTGTCAAAAGAAGAAGGAATTACTAAGTCCAAACTAGCTCCAGTATTGTTTGGCATGACAAAAGCTCGCCTATATGTTAGCTGTTTAGGTCATGTTCGCACTTCGCACGCCATAAGCTAGGAAGCATGTAGGCTAGCTTCAATTCTAACCTCAAATCTATTAAACATATCCTTATGTCTCTTTATGTTCCTAAACTACTTTATAAACATCTTTACTCTCTAATTTATATTTGTTCATACTCATTTATTGATCAATTTATAGAACTCAAAGACTACAAAAACAGTTAACCTAGGTTCTCCTAACATGGTTTAGGCCAAGGTTTGAAATTGTGTATTGTGTAGTCGTGGCGTTGTTTTAGAATTGCATATTGCGTAAGCCTCATTGCGCAATGAGGCGTATGGTTGAGGCGTAAAAAAATGTATTTACATGTGTGTGTATGCAAACACAATAAAAATAAAATAAATTATTCATTAGTGGTCATCAAATATAATATTATTATTATTATTATTATTATTATTATCCTCATCTAATCTATATACTTTAAATAACAGAAAATTAACAGAAAATTAACACTAATATTTAGTACGGAGAACTAAACAAATAGAACACTTAATATTATCATTAAAGTTGAAATCAACTTTAAATATAAAAACTGATAGAGCAAAGTAAAATGCAAAAACTTAGTTGATGGAATAAAGTAAAAAGCTAATATACAGAAAATATTAAAAGTTGAAGAAAATTAATATTAACAGAAAATGAACATTAAATTTAGTATTAAATTAAATAGAACACTAAATATTAATATTAAAGTCGAAATTAACAATAAATATTAAAACTGAAACAGCATATTAATATGCTGAAACTTAACCATGGAAAATAATAGAATACTAATTTGCAGAAAACATATTAAAAGTTGAAGCAAATTAATATTTACATAAAATTAATACAAAGTAGGAAATAAGATTAGACATGGAACAATATCAGATTATTTAAAGTGGATGTATTATACGGGTCTATAATATCTTTAGTAAAAAGTAAACAAACCATAGTTGCAGAGAAGCTTGAAATCACATGACAAGACTAGGAAGAAAGATGATGAGTATGAGCAGAGAAGCTTGTTAATCGCGGAAGATGAATAAGACAGGACCATGCTTATCGCTGCCTAGCATATTGCGTACGCCTAGATAGGTTTATTAAAAGTGTGGCCCAGTGGGCCAAAAAACAATTACAGACCCCAACATATGGCGTACGCCTCAAACCGCCTCAAGGCATAGGTCAGATTGCGCACGCCTCTGCGCAATAGCTCGTACGCCATAAGCAATGCAATATTACGCCATACTCCAGGAAAGTGCTGAGGCGCGCCATAAGGCGGTATTGCATTGCACAGTTACAAACCATGGTTTAGGCTTCAAGTCATTTGGGTAGGGTTTTTTATGACCAGAAGCAAGATTTTCAGAGAATTTGGGTTCACCTAGTCACCTAGAAGAAGTTTTGAAAATCCAAATTTCCGAATCAGGGTGTTCAGAAGGTTGAATCCTCCTTGTAAATACAATGTCACTTGATGATTTGGAGAACCTCATCCAAACATTATTTAATTGCATCCACCTACACTAATTGACCATGGGTTCACCCAATAAGTACTATAACTATTAGGTTTAGCAGCTTTACCGAAGTTCATCTGAACTAAATGGATCCTGAATCTAAGAAATCTATATAAAAAAGAACAAATTGTAAAACGAGTAATCATATTTGACATTGTATTTCATCTTCTGACATGGACTATCCTTTTCATCATGTTCCTTTTCTTGGATCCAAATAAAGCAGTAAAAAACGAAATGTGTTTCAAAAGATACCCGGATGCTAAACAGTCTCCTGAAGCTCCGCGAGGGTTTCTTTACTTGATTTCATCTTCACATCTTCTTCGTACTTCTTCAACCGTTCATTCCAAATCTCCTTCAATTTTAAATAAGATGTAAATTGAAAGGGGTAATGATGATGATGATGATGTAAATTGAAAGGGGGAATTGGGAAAGGGCAATATTAAACCAAGCATGGGAAGTATCTAGACACCTTGTACTTGAGTTCAGCTCGATGCATTACATAGAATCCAAGAACGCCTCCAGCAATTGTGCCTGTAATTATCCTAAAGTAACCCCACCTCGGCGATCTCATTTCTCACTGTTTTTCTTTCTTCTTCCACTTCGCGTTTCATTTCAGTCGGACTCCATACTTCCCTTTTTGAAGCGACGAATTAAAATACTACGTATTAGAATTTCCAAATAGGACCCTTAATCAATTCCAAGTTGTTTCATAAAATATCATTAAAATAAAACTTGCATACAAAAACGATTAATGTAATAGTGAGTATAGTTCTATGATTACTAAATTAAAGTTTAAACATGAATAAATCTATTAAAATCTATTAAGTCACATTTTTTCAACTATCCCTTTTTTAGTTATATATTAGAAATTATTTTACATTCCTAAACTGAAGGGTTGTCAACTTACGATTTAATTGACTTGATGAGAATGACAACTTAATTCATTCAGTCAGAAAGTTGACTTACTTATTAATCTACAATATAGTAGTCCTTCCCATTGAGACGTTAATTCAACTAACTTTTTTAAACTAATTATGAAATAAATTTATGCTAATAAATGAAGTTGAACATGGACAATACAACTCAATAATAGTATTAAGTTGCATATTTTACTAAATTAAGACGGTTTATTCGGCACAAAAAAAAATACCTTAATATACAAATATAGTTAATCCAGACAGACATCGAACATACGTAGTACATCTTAATAAAATCCTGATGGGACTCAATAAAAAAATTAGCAACCTCTTACTTCACAAATCACAATGACCACAATTACTTCATGTGACCACACCATGACTCTTAATTACTTCACTATGACTACACTTTTACAATTACCTCACCATGACCACACGATTACCATAATTTTTTATAAGCCACTAATCGAATTTAGCACAAAATTTCCCAAATTTAGAAATTAAAAAAGTATGAGAAACGATTTGATGTCGAGCGAATATAAGAAAATATTAGAAAAAATAGATACTGTAATTCACTTTCAAGAAAAGTAACAGTATGTAAGAAATTAAGAAGATTAATAATTTATAATCTATAACTTATAAGAGAAAGTCAGAAAAGATTACCTGGTTAAGCGAGCACCGAGAGGAATCAGCGGACAGGGGGCGTGGCGGCTCGGCGCGGTGGAGACGTTCGGTGATCGTCCTGGTCTCCTGGACTTGTGCGAATGTCCGGCCGTCGTCCCTTTGTTGCTTGCGGAGCCTGAGAATCAGTCGCCGATCGAATGGGTGTCGTCCGTGTAGGTTGAATTTGTTGGGGGAATTGGAATTGGAATTGGAAAGTCGATTACTTTTGTGGTTATGGGCCGCTTCTACTCTTCTCTATGTTTCTGGCACATGGCCTTGCCTAATATAACTCCTGCTTTTTCTTTTGGACCTTCAATTTTAAGGGGCATGTTCATTGGATTGTGTGCCTTTTAAATGCTCATAGAAAGTGACTTTCAGAAAGATTTTGAGTTTTTTTTTCGAATTAATGTTAATTAATTAATTAAT